CCTACATTTCTAGGTGGTTACCACTTGTAATAATTCATGAAGTAACATCCTGCCCTTCACCAATTTCCCAGACTGGCTTACGCTAAATTGTTTTGGTTTGGAAAAGGGGGCAGGGTGGAAAACAAGCAAGTAAACCGGGCAATACTTGCATCTATTGATGAACTGTATCATCTGCAGCCACCTCCAGTAACAGATCAGAACTTCCCTTCCAAAGATTTAAGGTTCTTGCCACTTCAGACATCGATTTACATAATCATTTTGCTTGGCTGTAAAAGTCACATGCTCAACTCAAGGGCACCAAACCCAAAAATGCCTTCACAAAATCCTGCTGCCTTTGAAGAAAGTGAAATTCTTACCTACATGTTTAAGTGGAACACCATACCACCTTGGTACCATAATCCTTACTCAAAGGCTGCAGTGTACTTTGCTAATAGTACCTTCTAAAACAGTTACGACAATTTTGAGACCACATACCCTGCAACTACAAGACTATTTGCTCCATTTTTTCTAATGAACTTGAAAACAAAAAATTGGAATGAAAAGTTGATTTATTCAGCTGATGACAGCTCCATCCCCTCCTCAACCTTGTTCTGGTTTAGAAAAGCCTTCATTTGCTCAGCAGAAGTGCTGCTCAACTAAATTGTTCTGTGGGAGAACAGCATTTAAAAGAAAAGTTAAATATTGTGCCTTTCCCCTCCACCTCAATATCCTAATTGAAAAAGGTGACTAGAAAAATTCCTCTGAATTAGTCATATTTGGGATTCCCTGGGTTTATGTGATAATTCCTATCAAAACTACTGGGCAAATAGTCAAGAAAGGCAGAACTGTTGCTCATATTCAAAGCCTGATGTTACACCAATGTTTTGGCAAACAGAAACCAGCCCCAGATTGCTATGGGTAAAAAAGGTGCAAAACACTGGAGATTCTTCATGCACTGCTAGATCAGATCATCTGTAACCAGTCTTGGCAGTATTCCTTCCTTTGGAAGGTATTAAGGCCACCAACACCAAACAGGAAGTGGATTTGCAACATGGGGTATTTAACTTACTATTCCTGCCACCTCAACATGTTTAAGGCCAGTTTCACACATGCACAATGCTTGGTATAGAAGCAAGCACTTGATACATCTTTTGGCTGCTGAAAAAAAGAAAGGAAGCAAGAATCCGTCTTTACTACAGTGGAAAGCTTGACCAACTCAAGCCAGAAGAACACTGGATTCTGCTTAGACACTTCCAAAGTTAAAGCATACAAAAAAAATCATACCCTTTTTGAGCTAGCTTTGGAGAAAAAGAACTGCAAGTACACACCTGTCCATTCGCACTGGATAGGCAGCAGCATAAACTCACTTCCACTCTCCTTTGATCCCTAAACCTGGCCCACATACACATTACTTCATGTCACCAAGGTAAACAAACGAGCATGGATATTCAAGATGAACCAACAGCATGCCACACTCACAAACCACAGTTCATGCTTGCATCACAAGCTTTCTGCAGGAGGCATCAGTATATTTTCTCTAGGACCAGCTCAACTCCCCCATGAAAAGTTCCCTATGAATTAAGCAGTCCTAGAGCTGAATTCACAGACAGTAGCCAAAAGGCCTCCCCCTTCCAACCATTACCTCTGCATCAAAAAAGGTTACAAGGAGTGGTTGAAGAGTGCTGTTTCATAAGTAGTAACCCTTATTTATGAAACAAAAGAGGATGGTAATAAAGATGTCATATTGGCATCTTGCAGTAGAGTTTTATTTTCATCTTTTTAGTGTTCCACTCATTAGTTCCTTCCAGGAAAAAAGAGGTAAGTTTTCTTTATCAAAATCCCTGTGCATTTCCATTACGATCCCAGGATCACACCATAGGATGGAAAAGGAACCATTCAAGGTAACTCAAAAGATGAAACACTGGTTTAAATACAAACAGATGAGGAAATTCAAAACTGCTTTCAATGGGTCTGTTCCAAACCAAGCACAGCTGGCATTTATCACAACAAAGTAGTGCATTGGATAGTTCCAGTATGTCGTTTAGTGGTACTAAGCACATATGTGGCTAGAAGGGTCCATGAAGAGGCTTCTTATTTGGTCTCTGGCTTGTCTTGTAATAGTGGTATAATTGATTCCCACGCCGTAAGGCACTGCAAAAAGAAAAGATGCAGCAGTAAGTTTCTAGTTACATACTACTATTCCTTCACTCCAAGTCTCTATCATGTAAGGTAAACCATCTCAAAAGCATGGTCCTGATCACCAGTTGAGCAGTTTATGAGTTGGAAAAAAAAAGCAGAGGATTTAAAAAAATTCCTAATAAAAAATTGTTCACCCGTCTGCCATATCACAGTAAAATGCACCAAAGTGTTAGTCATTAGTCTAAACCACTGGCAAGTTGGGAATTTCCCAAGTTACACTTAAGGAAACATAATATTTGCCTTTCCAATTTTAAATGCTACATCTTATGGCAACTGCAGCCTCCACTGCGTCTTTAAAGTGTTATTTTGGAGGCAAAAAACTTACTAAAAACAGCTTTAAGCAACTGATGGTGGTCTGTTAGCAGGGAGGCTTGGCAGAGCAATGGAGGCATGAAATTGCTCCATAGTACAAGTCAGCCTTTGCCTGTTGGAATGGAGTCTAAGCAGCAAGTAAAGAAAAATAAAAGCGAAGCCACAAAGAAATGAAGATGTAAAAAAGCTGCAAGATAAGCTTAACTACCGTTTAAAGTTGAATCAAGTACAAGGCCATTTGGTCAATTCAGCTTGCTAGAACTAAAAGCTCCACAGTTACATTTTCTCTTTTAGTCAAGGGGGTTGGGACATAAAACTCATTAGATTTTAAACATTTTACTTGAACCCAAACTCTGTTCTCACTTGCCAGCACCTCAAGGTTTCAGCAGCACACATCCCAGAGAAATATCACAACATAGATTTAGAGAACCTACCACACACACAGAACTATTGAACTGTGTACAGATTATAGGCTTAAACTCCAGATTTGAGACATGCCAAGACTCATTTTGCTCTCAGACAAGTTACAGTATCACACCCAAGTAAGTTACCTAAAACAGTATAGACCTTTTACCATTGGATAATAAATTAGGCAACCAGCTTGCTGCCACGATGGGGACTCCATGAACTATAGGCTGGAGTGAGAGTGACAGACAGTACACCACTATAAAAACTAAGAGATTAATCCCATCATGTACATGGGGCTGAATTAAGACTATTACTCCCCCCTCCCACACCCATTTGCTGCTCCTTAAGATTACTATGAGGACATACAGTACATTTGGCTCCTACTATACTAACTCAGTGAAAGTGCTGGCATAAAAAAAAAAAAAAAAAAAAAAAAAGGGAAGATACCAAGACTCTTGATTATAAGGCAGCTGGTTTTCAGATGCATGTAGAAGCACCAAACCTGGACAGAGTGGGGGCATCTCAGATGGTAACATCAAACTACTGCATTACCAGCATCACTGAGGTAATTCCACTGCCCTCATGTTTAGCCACTGTTTCATGCTCAGATCAGTCAGTGGTAATGCTAAACACTAGTAGCAGCTCCAGGATGACCTACAGCAAAAGAAGTGGGTTGCTCCTGTGAGTGAAGCTAAAAGCCCTCCAGGCCCAACATGAAATCCATCACACTAACATCCACTGCAGTGCAGCACTGGAGTGTAGAAGCCATGCCCCTAATTTCAAGGTCAAAAGGTCACCGGTAGTAAGCTATTAGTGTTACAGCAACTTGGGGTGTTACCTTCTCATAGTACTGGATGTTTTTGTCTGCCATTCCCATAAGCAGCTGCCTGAAGTCTTGGCGTTTGCTGTTCTGCCATCTCTCCATGTCCGCTTTCAGGTCAGCATTGAAGCACTCTACTCGGTCCTGACATTTTTCCACATCTGTTGGCACCTGAGAGAAGCCAGACTTCTTAGCAATGCTAGGGTTACTTCTTTTCCATCCTCCCCAAATCACTGGGAATGTACAACTTACATACATACCATTGCACAACTCAGTCCTTCTATTTCTTTACTTGAAACAATTTCTTTCGGGAGCTGTAACTGAACAGCTCCAGGAGAAGCAGAATAAGAGAACGAAACAGGATGAGGCACCAAGCCAGAACTTGCTTCATTGTGGAACAGGACTCTTGTAGAGTGAAACAGAATCCCACTTAGGCAGGTAGGGTAGGATCTTCTCTCTTCCATGTGTACAAAGAAATGGAAGTTTCCTTTCATCATGTTGGGGGGGGGGGGGGGGGGGGGGGAGAGGAGGAGGAGGAGATGGGAAACAGGACAGCGATTCAATTTGTTGATTTGGATCACTGTCCCAATTCAAATTTGGCCGAATCTGAAGATTTGATGCCGATTTGGAGAAAATCAGCGATTCAGACATACACAGCTTTCAATGTTTTTCCTACATACCTTGGAGATACCAGGTGCAGCTTGTGAATGCTACAATGGTGAGGCGGATAGAGCGTCCCACAGGAGTGCGGGGGACCCCCCCCCTCCTCAGCAATCAGCTGTGGGTGGGACCCCAGGCGTCTCCCCAGACCCAGGAGGCACAAGTCACCAAGCTGGGAGGTGGGGTCCCCCACATGCTCCACAGCAGACCTGGAAGTGGATGGGAAGGGCTTTTGGTCTACTTCTGGGTCCACCACAGAGTGCACTGGGACTCCCCACATGCTCCTGTGTGACACTCCATCTGCCCCACCATCTCAGTGTTCGAGCCAACTGGTACCTTGAGGTATGTAGAAAAACTATTTAAAAGCTACGTCTACGGCTGAATCATTGAATCTCTTTTGGAGGGTTCCGATTCAAATTTGGAGAAATTCAAGGGTCTCCCGATTTGATTCAGAGATTCGGCCACCAAACTGAATCAGTGACCAAAGCTTCACACAGACCTACTGCTTGTGACAACAGAACTGGATACATGGGCCCTCTGTGCCTTGGTAAGGTGATAGTAAATAAGCAAGCAAATTCTTGGGGAATGCGACTAAACAGAAAACAAGCTTTGCTTTTTATGAAAAAAAGTCTTCTTTCCATCTTATTTTCCAGTAATAGTTCAGGATTGAAGCCTAGTACATGAAAGTTCCACATATGGACTGTATTTCTAAATAAAGAGCCCACATGTAGGATACCTGTGTGGACCAATGAACCCCAACAGAATTGCAGAACTGCCTCCATTTTTAAAGTTCCCTACTCACTTAAAAAAAAGCCCAGATCTATAGTTGGAGTATAAATCTCTCCAGAATGCAGTTAGATGCTGGCAACCCTTGGGCCAGATCCGACCTGCCAAGCAATTTAAATTAGATCTGCATCTGGCCTACAGTGCAGTATTGCAAGTAGGGGAGGGCGAGGAAGGCACTAGTGCCTCCACCTGGGTACCCCCCTTGGACATCCTGCTCCCACTTTTTCTGCAACACCACCTGCAGCCACCCCTGCTCAGGTCAGTTTCTTTTTGTGCTGAATTTTTCATTTGTTCCAGTCTGGTGGTGGGAACCTACAGCAAGGTTATTAGGGAAATAAGCTTACCATTCACTTCAGTGGAAGTAGTAAGGCTGACTGACAGAGTATGTTTGAACTTCCCACACAAGCACAAAAAAGCCCCAGCGGCCTTAACTAAAGACTGTGGTCTGAATACTCTATTCAAGGATACCAAACCACTGGCTGACAAGTTTAAGCTAGAACATCTGGCAAGGAGGAAAAAAGTACCATCATTAAAATCAACTTCCAAATAAAAAGATACATAACATTCTCCAGCCTTGCTGTTGCATCATTAGGATGATATAGGAATACATTACTCCAAGTGGGGGAATCATGTTCCTTCCAAATCAGAAAAGAGTTCTAAGGAAAAGGAAAGGATTATACAAGAGACTCTGGAAAAATCATTAGCAGAGTTCTACTGTTAAAGTTTGGTACGACTTGTGGACAAATATGAATTCTCTCATACTACACTTCAGTCATTACTAGTTACCTACCACCTCGTTTTACAGACTTGTACCTCGAGATGGCATTTTAGACCAGTTTAGTTCAGCTTGGTTTTTTTTTTTTTTTTAAAACCAGTTAAAACCAAAAGAAACCCCCCCCCCACCCCTTATGCTGGTCTTGGGTTTAGAGAACGGCTAGCTTTAGTTAAGTTCTATCCCCTTTACCGGACTCAACTAAATATTTGTATTATTCACTCCTCAATTTCTACTGGTTTTACTACCACAGATTTGAGGAAAGCAACTAGTTAAACCAAAACACAAATCATCTGTGTAGGGGAAGTCTAGGGGAAAAAATTCTTACTTCAGCTCCTGTTCTGAGCTCAAGTTCCTTGCAGAGATCTTTAAATATTTGATAAAAGGAACTCATTTGCCAGTCTGGAATGTTTAACTCACTACTGCCAAGTCAATCACTAGTGCAGAATGGCGATAAGCAGAATGACTTCCTGGCACATTTTGAAGGCAAAGAGGGGGGAGAGAAGAGGGGTGTCAACTCCTGGCCCTCAGGCCTCCCCATGGGCCTGAATTTCAGTGGGGAGTAGTGGTAGCTAACTTTCACTGCTCTGCTGTCAGATTTCCAGACCCAGGGGAGCCCTTCAGGTCTGACTGCACAGACAGGGCCAAGCATGACAACATGGGGTTGGACCCTGGGGCACAGACTGGCCCCATGCCACTTTTGTCCATGCAGCCAAAAGATATGAGCACTGCTATGGTAGTTCCCCATTTTTTTTAAATAATGGCCATCTTCCCTTTATAACCCCTTTAGGAAGCCTTCCAACTTTAGGCTGCAGAAGTTCTAGTCTCTGCTCTGACAGCCGAGCTGCCTCTCTGGCTTGGGCAACTAACAGCCTCCGTATCAGCACTCCTACCCCTTTAAAAGGGGGGTAAGATGGAGAGAAGGGGAGAACAATATTTGCTAAATCCCAAAGCAGGAGGAGTAGTAACACCATTTCTTCACCGGTCTGAGAAAGTCCCTCATACACAGCACGCTTCGAAAAATGTATACATTTCTGTCTTAGTGCAGACTTCAGAGGAAGCCATAGGACTGATGCAAAAGGGCAGAACCATGTCAATAAGGAGGATCAATTTTAAGCTCAGCTAAGATATTCAAAACCAAATGAAAGAGGCACGCAACACTTGAAAGGAGTAGTCCTTGATACAATGCCTATTCCTTCACCTAACAGGTCCCATGCACATGCTTAGTTATCTTTGCTAAGTTCTCAGGTCTTTCACAGCTTCATTTTATCCTGCCCTATTGGCTCTCTTCAGTGCCAATGCTTTCAGCATATTCAGTAAGGTGTCTAAAAAAAGATGGAGGGTTCAACAGACTGCATCTACTAGACATAAAATGCAGTTTGTTCGCCACCAAAAAAGCCCATCACAGCACTGCCACCACCACCAAAGTGATACCAAATTTAAGCCAGCTGGGTGAACCCACTGCTGAAAACTTTAACAGTTTCTTCCCCCTGCCATCATCTTTGTGACAGGAAGATGAAGGCCTCATGTGATCCTTCATAAAAAAAAAAAAAAAAAAAAAAAAAAAAAAAAAAAAAAATCACATATGGTAAAGATTTAGAGATGGGCAAAACACATTTGCAGTTTCAACAAGTCATTGAGAAATGGTGGTTCTACTGAATAGCTACTCTCAAACACATGCAGCGACATCAGGGAGTGCTGGCTGACTGCATTCCTGGAGGGAAGATCCAGCCGATCCCACTATTACATAAACAATGCACAAAGAGCTCCTACAGACATGCAGCAAGACTGGCCCAATGTGCTGTAAATCCAGCATGTCAGAGCAGACTCGATTAACAGAGGCTGCTAGAGCGCTGAAATTAACGCACTCCAGCCTCCAGTGTCAATTGCATCAGCATCCCCATACTGAAAAATGGAGTCAGGGCATGTTAAAGTTTGTTCAATGAGCTTTAGTTCAAAGCACCCCACCACCATTTTTCAGCGTGGGGATGCAGAGATGCTTGATGCTTGGGCGCTTTCAATTAGCATGGCTTGCTAATTAAAGCAACCCCCCTGCCTCCTGGAGCACGTCTATAAAATGCCCGAAGTTCCTCTAATAAAACAAAATGTTTTCCACTGCCTCTGTTCAGTGATAGGAATTCTGAAGCTTAAAAGGGCTCTCGCACAGCACTACTGTTTAACAGGGACTTCCAATTTGTGAGCCCCTGTTTCTATTTGGGTAATTAGTGGGTTTCTGTGGTGAGAACAATTGATGATTATTCTTCAGATAGCTCAGTACTCCTTCAGGAATGCATGGTTAGCTACTATAATTTATTTTTCATATTTGAGAAGTCATGCTAACTTTTAGAGCTCTAGTTCTTCAATATTTTACTGAACAAAAAAAGGTATCAGTGCAGCGATGCCAGAAATACCACAGTACCAGGCATTTTGCTGAATCCTAGAGGACTGGGGGGCAGGTGGGAGGGATAGTAATAATAGTTGGGTCTGGACTTTCCTGGCAGATCCACAGAAGAGAGAACATAGGCCCCTACCTCCTACTAAGCCCCAGTGTTGCAGGAAGCATACAAATGACATCTCCTCTGTGAAGGTGTTGAAAGATAGGTCCCAGCGTGACATGGGGGCCATATATCCACATGTGAGAATGTATCTACACTAGTCTTGGGAGGACTTATGTAGAGATATGCAAGCTAGGCTTAAAAAAAAGTAAAAATAAAAATAAAAAATAAAATTAAATGCAGGTGTAATTCACCCCCACTGGTGGGTTCTGGGCTGAAGATGGTCAATTCAGCAGCATGTTGTCAAAATTCCATTGCCACAGAAATCACCAGGGCCTTGACTGTTAATGGGATAGTTTGCTCTGCTTAAGATTTAAGGCTCCACATAAATTCTGTTCACATTTGAGGATCTCTGAATCCATAAACAGCTGTTTTGTTGGGTTTTTTTTAGTTTAAGAGCAAAAAAGATTTCAGTGACTTTCTGGGCACTGCATTACCCCCAAAAGGGGGCAATACAGACCACAGGTTGAGAATGTCCATTACAAATCCAGTGTTACAATCTACAGACCACTGGGGTTTGCTGAGCTACATATACTCTACTAAATCCAGATCTGGAAACAAGCCTTTAAGAGGATCTATGACTTATTGCGAGTCAGGTGGGATGACTACAGAGCACTAATCCACCCTGAAAGTCTACAGGAACTGGATCTCAATTAAGTTGTTGTAATTCATTCAGTGGGGCCAAGTTTTCACCTCAACATGCGGAAGGAATTGGGCTTTTCCACTGGAAGCATTGAAACTTTGAAATGGGAAACAGTTTCTACTGAAGACTTTGGCAAGAAGGTGCTTAGTTTCACTGCAAGGCAGATATAAAAGGCTGACATGCCCAACAGGAGGCCATTCAAATAAGTGCCTTAAAAATATTTCTCCTTGTTGTTGAAACAAAACAGCAGTGTAGATTAGTTGCTATTTTTTTTTCAAATAAGAATAGTTACTTGAAACTAGATTATCTTTCTAATTCTTATTAAAACCTGCAAAATGAGTGACTGAACCAGCTATAAGATTTAAAATTAATTTTTAGCAGAGTTGTGCACATAGTTTCCACCCCCTGTGATGGCCAATATGATAAGAGTTAGTCCACAACTGTTTAACAATGTGAATGTGATCAGTCAGGATTCTTCATATTTAGGTTTTAGCCACATTACCACCACTAATGGAAGTTTCTCTAAAAACGTTTTTTAGTGTCTGCAGTGGTTTGTTTTTTTTCTCTTGCCACTGTTCGCAGCACTTCTAGAATTGGATAACCTCTCAAGAATCAACTGATGTGGAAGAGGAACTTGTGTTCTACAAAATAACCTTGAAAGTGATGCTTTCTGGAGTTTTATATTGCTAGTAGGGTTAACCAGGGCATCAAGGTCAAGAGCTCCTAGACTAATAGCAATTCAAAAATAAGAAGTAGTCTTCAACAGTGGAGCAGACCAATGAAGAAAATACTTCACAATGGCTGCAAAGGCAGAGGAAGGCTGCAGCAGAATAGAGGCCTCCAGTTGTCTGGATTCTCCTTGCCATCAGGTTAAAAGTTTCCTTCCTGCAAAGTATTGTGTGGTTGCTGATGCACAATGGCATCCCCATTAAAGACTACATGTGCAGGTGTCTTCCTTTAATAGGGAGTCCTATGGTGATGGGCGAGTGGTGGCAGGGTCAGGTGCTTGTGGCTTTAGGTAATCGCTAGTCACGAATCTACATATAGCAGCAATGACTGCATGATGGCTGTTTTGCACTTGGAACCAAAGATAAGTACAGAATTTAGCAGCTGCAATCATGACTAAGCAGGCCTACTTGGGATCCACCCTGCTCACCTCTGGAGGAAGGGGAGAAACAGCTAAAAAAAAAAAAAAAAAAAAAAAAAAAAATCACCACATCCTGTAATGAAGGTTTGTAACTGAAGCATCCACATCCTGTGTGGTCACTGTGGTGGTTGTCCAACAGAAGCAGAGAACAGCACTCAGGGCTAAGGAACTTGCGTGGTTTCCCACCCCCCTCCCCTTTAATCAAGACACTATTGTACTTAGTGAAATCAAAAGGCACAGGAAAGGGGCTGCTCAAAGAACATGGTGATGGGTACACCTTTTTCAGAAAAAGAAAAAAGCTGAAAGACATGCACAACATAGGCTTTATCATCAATACCAACATTGTTACCCAGATGCCAAAATGCAAATCCTGTAATACCCTCTAGTGGCTGAAGTGAGGACATTTCCTGGATACTTAATTACTGTAAACAAGTTAACTGAGAACCAGAGAATTCTTTGCTAAAAAGAGGCAAAATTTTAAAGAAAGTTGTAACAGAGCACTAAGGTCATTGGGGGAGGGGGTGTTGGCCAGGCTTATCAACCTGCAAAAGTTGATAAGTACACTTCTCCTTGCATCCCACAGGCGATTTAAAAAAAGAGAAGAAGTTCTCACTAGCATGCAAAGGAACAGTTAATTCTTAAAAAATGCTTGACCCAAAGTATAGTGGAGTCTTTTCACTTATACTTCAGTGGGTTTCAGATCATGCTAGTGGCATGATGTACTAGTAGTGTTCCCCCACAGGGCCTATCCAAAGATTTCCTCTTTGCTGCAGTGATGTAACTACAGGTTCAAGTAGATTTCACCACCACCCCGTTTCCCTCCACATGCTTAGCCCATTAGCTTTTTCTCCACTGAAAATATCCACCCATCATCACTGTTCGTTCTCATTCTGAGGCCAGCTTATAAACGAAAAAGAGACTGTTCCAGGTAAGAAGTGGCAATGCTTTTGTTCGCAGTGGTTTTTTTTTTAAGCAAGTTCTCAGCCAAGACTGACAGACAAGAGTGCCACAGGTTTGGTTTTTACTGAAGTTTTTTCAAATGCTAACCTTTGGACGGTCTTCTTTTTTCAAGGCCACAGCTTCCAATTTTGCTTCATACTCTGCTTGAACTTGGTCTCTCTTCTTCAGCACATTCTAGAGAAAGAAAAGCGCAAAGGTTGAAAGCAGATGAGGGTAACTCTCCTTACTGCCCCACCCTGCTAGAGACCTCAGGCTGGATATAAGTTGACATGTCACTTGAGTCAGAGGTCAGCACTGAACAGCAGATTCCCGTTTTATTTTGTAGGCATTGCGACAGACAGACACACACAGACTGACTCTAGGCTGAACCATTTACCCTGGAAGCAGATGCAAACCAAGATTTGTAATCATTAGAAGTGAGGCTGAAAAAACCAAGACTCCCAAGTCTTGCAACCAGTTTTCAGTGCAACCTTTGCCAAGATACTTAACTTCTCTATTCATCTGTTGACTCGCCTGCAGAAACTTAACTGGAAGAAAGGTTAAAGTGAGAATCCAATCTATAAAGCATTAGGGAAAAAAAAAATCACTAGGCAACAAGAGAAACAAAAGTTGTACACAGTTGGCAAGCAATCTTCCTGAAAATGAGCTTCTGCTGGCCAGGTGACAATAGTTTCATGACTTGTTGAAGGAGTGACCTAAAGGTCACGTTTTATTTTGTTGTTAAAAATGCAAGGGTGAGAGCATGAAAGCTTTGTCTAAGGATGGAGAGAATGTTTTTATGCAAAGAAAAAAAAAAACAAAAACAAATGCAACAAAACCCAAACAAACCACACACACTTTATGACAACTTGGCTAGGCTACCCAGGATTGTTTCCTCCAGGTCAGTTAACAAAGACAAGACCAGTCTTATGTCACATGTAAAAAAGCTCCAGGATTGCCTAACCAGTCCTATTAAACACTGGATATCCAGTCACAGATTTACATGCAAGAGGCTACAGCATGATATACGACAGCTTTGCAGATGTAGGTCTGTCCTAAGCTCTGATCTATAAAACACATTAGTTGAGGTTGTGTTTACTATATTAGTATTAGCAATTGTATGCCAAGACCATCGCTAAACATGGGCATTACTTTTTTTAAAGTGCATATTTTGCATGGAGGAAAAATAAAAGTCCCAGGAGATTTCTTATTTAGAGGATAAGCTCCTTGCTTATTCCTTTGAAGAGCAATCCCTCATGCCCTACTGGCCCTGTTTTTATAAAGTCACATATCCTGCCATGCAGAGGGCTAACCTAATTATTTGGGCCTCAGCTTTCAGTTCATCTTAAGAAAACAAAAAACAAAAGTAAAAAGCTTGGTCAAGTGTTGGTTATTCCAGGAGACAAGGGCAGTTTGTTAAATTCAAAAACTTCTATACATAGCTATTACCCCTACCATAAAGCTACAGTAAAGTCACAAGAGCAGTGCAGGACAGGCCATGCTTATAGCAAGCAGAAGTTAACACACTAATAGTTTAATCCACAATTAATCCCCGAATTAAATGGTACAGCTTCTCACCAACTAAAGGGTATTAGCAAATAGACAAGATGGCACATGATCAAACACTAAACCTGCAAGCCTATGACGATATTTCAAGGATTCAATTAGGAACAGTTAGTAATTGCTAGGGTTGGGTTATTCCTCGAGGCACAGCAGAAGTGAAGGGGGTTAATTTACAGGGTTGCTCCAGTATCTGAACTTATTTAGTCCGTATTAATTTAGATTCTCATATTTCACAGTATTCTTCACTCCAAAGAAATTAGACATTTATTGCCAAGAAATAGGAGGAAAGGGATAATTCCTTCAATAGTTTGGGACAGCTTCCTTGCGTGTCCTTCCCCCCCACCCCCCAAACCTCCTCTCCCCCCACAAAAAGCCACACACACAAGCATGCTATTTGCTTACAGCAAAAATGTAAGACATCAGGTCTCAGAATATAGAAGAAGTAACCCACATAAAAATTTTCCCCTCCACAGATATTAAAAAAGCACTGAAAGCATGAATGTTATTTAACAGGTATTTCCTCTTTGGTACACAGGGATATTGAAGAAATATCTATTTTTTGCTGGGGATTTTTAAGAAATTATTATTTGCCTCTTACAACACTGGTGTCAAATCATGGACCAGGAAATCTGAAGTTAGTACAGCAAGTTGACTGGTACCTTCAAGGACTAATGGTTTAGAATAGAGGATTCTGATACTAGATAATGTTGATTGGTTGGGACTATTTTGGTGGGCAGTCTAAATAGAAAGCTAAAAATGGGTTTGAAGAATAATTAAAATTGACAGCCCAACACATCAGCCTTGCATGCAGTACAAGTAATACTGCTTTCTTTTTCCTCTGAGAAAGGAGGGATCTCAGGCTTTGCTTAGTAATGCAACACAGAACACTCCTGCCTGAAATATTCTTCAAGAGGGCACAGTAATCTTGTAGCTCAGAACAAAAGCCTGCAAAGCATTTTTTATGAAGTAAGGATGCTTCTCTTCTAGGATGGGGAAGGAAGGCACCATGGGGGCTAAGAGATTTGTTTGTGAATAACAGCTGTTTTACTGACAGTTTAGGGAATAAAAGTCTAGTCAAGTCATCGTCTCATGCTCCAACTTCAAGGCCATCCTCACAAGATACAGGGCGGTCCCAAAGCAAAGAAACATTTATAAGAACCTTCCCTCCTTCTACACCTTTGCATTAATGAGAAATTCCTAGGCAACTCCTCACTTAGATAGGCCTTACAGAGAAAGGATGCATTTCCAAAGGCTACAGCCCTTGAATCAAAAGCCTTTTTATCCCACTGTCGCCACCTTTTCTTTACGTGAGGAACTAACTTGGAATGGACTTAGATTTAGAAGTATATTCAAAATGCCCCAATGCACTGTTGATAATTGCCAACATGCTATTTAAAAAAGGGGTGGGGGTTAAATACACACACAGTTTGTGCAATATTTTAGTAAAAGCCATTAACTACATTAAACATTAATAGGTTCTTGCCTTTCCCATGGAACATTGATGCACACATGCTGCAAGGCAGGTTTGATTTTCTCAGAGGGAAAAAATGCTTCCCTACTAAGCCATGATTGTTCGGGTAACCCCGAAACATTCCCCACTTTACCCCTTTTAAAGATGCCATGCCTTTTGAATTGACCTTTAGCCTCTTTCATTTCTGAGGCCAAGAAATGATCCTTACCAGATTAGTTATAGAAGGAAAGGGCTTGTCTGCACCTGAAAGCACTGTTGGATTCAGGTACAGCACATCTGAAAGGTAGTACCTAGTCCAGAATACCTCTACTCTTGGACAGTTGTATTGCTTTAACTAGAGTGGTATCCTTTCAACTGCCCAAGTTGTCACTTGAGTAGTCCCTCAGAAGAAGTGAGAGCTTTTCGATATTCACTCTGGGGAAAAAAACCCTGCATGAAAAAGTGGCAAAGCTATTAGTAAAAATGCAAACGTAATCTTAATACTTTTCCTTGTTGCAGAACAGACTTTTGCTTTGGCTCTGTTCTCTTAGGCCAGCTTTGAATCTTCCCACTGGGTCAAATTCACCAAGCGTGGTGTCAAGTGTGGAGGGCTGGACAGCCAGCCATAGACTGAAACAAGACTTCTGAACCTCATCTAAATAGCTGCCAATTGCATTGGCACAGAACATCTACCAAATAAGCAACAGCCTCGCTTTAGAAGCCTTGCTCTAATCTAGTTTCATGGAATGAAAGAAAAAGATTTCCCTGTTCCCACCCCCTATGCACTAACTGTATATTGTGAAAGTACCGACAGGCAGTTAAACTGGTTTAAAGCTACCTGGAAGGTTTCATAAGTGCCTGGGGAAAAAAAAAAAAAAAAGTCAAGTACTATTTTGAACCAATTCACTGTAAACCACTTCAGTGTTGTGTGTAGACAGCAAGTATCTTGTGACAGCAGCTGAGTCAGTCCATCTTCCAGACATCCCATGCTGCATTATTCTCTTTCCTACCCCAACCCCACTAAAACTGGTCACTCTGTGCAGCCAGAACTCTGTCCCTCTTATCCCCCACCTTTAATTTTTTGTTGAAACTTAAATCCCTTGCACTGCTTAAAGAGTCATCTTTCTGAACAGCCAGCTCCATCCTTACTCCCTACTCTACCACAGCTCTTCATGTCCTCCAGATCCTGGGGACCTACACTTTTTTTTTGGTTCAAGTACTGATCCCTGCCAGCTCCCCCCCACTCCCTGAAAGTCAGGCAAGCACACTGCAGACTAAACTTCAAAAGCCTGCAGTATTCTACAATTACAATTCTGCTTCTTACAACAGAAGAGTTTTATGCAAAATGCTGAATGCTTTAGACTCAGTGGGCACCTCCACATGTGCACTTTTACTGTGTAGTAAGTTTACTATACTGCACAGCAAGCATCATCATCAACATGTACACAGCAATTAGGCAGACCAATTTACAGCACCAATATCCTGCCAGATATTGGGATTAGTTTACTCTGATTCAAACTGCATTGGAGTTTATTCAGTTGCATTAGTTGCACCCAGTTAGAGGGCATGTATCCCTAAAGAACACCAGTAGCCTGGATCCAACCATCCCATCAACCCATTTGTTTTGCCCTGGCAAAATGCTTATCCTCCCTACCTGCAGAAACATGGGAACAAAACAAGTGAGGTTTAAGGTGAAGTCCTGGGGAAGATACTATGGACAGCACAGAGTTACACTTGAAGAGTTTTCCCTTAAAATGTGATAGTGGTGGTGTGTTTATTTGTTTGTTTACTAGTATCCCCAATCACTGGCTTTCCTTACCAACTTTCATTAAAATACCTTAGTGTGGAGAACACATGCCACAGCCTGCTTAGGCATACGCAAAGCACAGTAAGGTTAAACAAGCAAAGCCAATTTGGGGCCAGCAACTGCTACCTGTATACTGAAGTCCATGAAGTAAACCTAAATTAAGTCAGGTTCTCTGGGACAGAGCGCTCAAGTGAAAGAAATTTTCTTCCTTGGGTTTTGTAAATTGAGAAGAGACCTTCACCTCACTGCTTGAGGAAGCATAGTTCTAGTGCAATCAGCTTTTGCATAAACCACTTGACAGACAACTTGAAGGAAAGTCTGTATGCAAGTATCATACTTTAACATGTAAAATCCAGTCAAATCAGGAAGACAAGATACCAAAAGAAGTCAGTTACAAGTACAAGATCTCTGTCCGCGCGCGCGCGCGGACAGCTGAGGAAGTAGGCATTTCAGGTGCCATTTCTTGAGTAAAAAACTTTAAAAAAAAGCACATACCTTGTTGGGGACTTTCCTGAGGTGCTCCAAGCAGAACTGTTTTTTGTTGACACTTCAGGTTTTGTTTTTTTGTAAGAAAAAAGTATAAAATGCTGAACATATACACAGTGGCTTACAGCTTTACAGAATGTAAGCACTCTCATGCCACAGATCACCTAAAACCCATGCTAATCACCCTGGTTGGCTCAATATCAGCTTTAAAATGCTATTAACTCAGTTAATGTTTAAAAACTTACTTTGTTAAAACAAAATGTCAGAAGTGCCTTAACTCTTAAAACAGAGGAAGCAGCGACTTGCAATGCAAATATTTAGCATTATTCCCAAGCACAACCTAATTTCAAAAGGAACCAAGACCCTAAACGTCAATACCTTAAGTTGTTTTTTTTGTTTTTATAGGCTTGTGGAAGAGAAGTAAAAAATGTGTCTATAAACTGCCCTACATGTTGAATGGACTGCAAAGATACTCCTATTAAAAAAGGAAATCTCAGAACATGCATACATGTTTTTGGACAGCAATTTTGTCAGGTAATTTCAGGGGAGCAACCAAAACCTTAGCATAGAAGTGGCATGTTGAGGACCATTTGATGTGCCCGTTCATGAAAGGAACAGCAAAGTTAGGTCACTGCTCATCAGTGCTGAAAAGGTTAGAATTGAAAGACTGACCTTTGATTAATGGAAAGTTAGGTGCTGGATGACCACAGGAGGCAGATTTGAGAGACTTCATGTAGAGTGTAGCATATCACACATTCATAAATTTTAAGTAGCATTATTGTAGCATCAGATAAATCCATCTTTCACATGTAGGGTTGAATAAGAACTGAGCCTGATCTCAGGTTTGGCTAACAATGCTCAGCACGTTAAAAGAAAAAAAAAAAAAGTTTACCATTGTGCTAATGCACAAGAACAATGGTAGATTGAGGTCTAGCACACGCCCCCTGTTCAGTCCGAAAGGAACCATGACACTAGTTATCAGCTACAGTAGTCAGATTCTGTATAAAAAGCCTCAAGTTCTTGGGGGGGGGCGGGGGGGGGGGTCAAAGTAATGCTGCCCCCCCCTGCCTCCGACTCTTTCTAGTAATACTAGTCTAATATTAAAATTTGCACACAGGGTGTACATCACTGACAATACAGCTATTCCCACCCCCCAGTAACAAGCCCCTGACTAAGGCTTTTTCCACTGGTGAATAGGGCATGTATCTCAACATAACCATGTAGTGAAACAAGTACTCCTCCAATAACTATTATTTAGTCTCTACCACATTGCTGGCATCCTAAAAGTGTTACCTTCATCCTCTGGGCTATATAGAGGATGGAGCAGTACAGTCCATCCAAATGATAAAGTTCTGTAGTGTGCAAGTGAGCGATGTCATGCAGAAGTAGCACCACAGACATGTCTGTCAGGTGAGGCTCTTTTTGCATGTGGAAGTTTCAATTTCTTCAGGGTCTTGACAGATCTCCAAGTTGACTGTAGCTCTCAGGCAAAAAACCCCTTATAAAATTTTCATGCCTTAGAGGTTGTACATGGATTGATCAGAAAATACTGCATCAGAATAATGTGCCCTTGTTCACTTGTGGAAGTCTACCAATGTTGAGGTTGTTGCAAAACTGCAAGCTTCTGTAGAAGTTTAATATTTTCAATATTTGGAAAGCGGGGAGGGGGCGGAGATAGCAATTGATCCTCTTTCCTGCAACAAACTACTGCCAGATGGAAAACCAAACATGCACACACAGTGAATGGTAGGGTCTATTCAGGAATGCTCGTTTATGGGTGCACACAAAATATAGAAAAAACGGGATGGTCACAAGGCTCCTTACCTTCATGGACTCCGAGTACAAAATGTACTCCCGGAGTACAGGCAGGAAGTCCTCTGTCATGTCTTCACTCAGTTCCTCAAGTGCTGTACAGCAATTGCCGATGCAGGCAGACACACCTTCCAAGGGTTCTCCTAGCTCTACCTCCAACCCACCCCAAGTTGAGTAAACTGGTCCATACTCTCTTAGTTCCACCAAGTATTCTGGGAAAGGCAGAGATGGAAAAAAAAAAAAAAAAAAAAAAAAAAAAAAAAAAAAAAAAAAAAAAAAAAAAAAAAAAAAAAAAAAAAAAAAAAAAAAAAAAAAAAAAAAAAAAAAAAAAAAAAAAAAAAAAAAAAAAAAAAAAAAAAAAAAAAAAAAAAAAAAAAAAAAAAAAAAAAAAAAAAAAAAAAAAAAAAAAAAAAAAAAAAAAAAAAAAAAAAAAAAAAAAAAAAAAAAAAAAAAAAAAAAAAAAAAAAAAAAAAAAAAAAAAAAAAAAAAAAAAAAAAAAAAAAAAAAAAAAAAAAAAAAAAAAAAAAAAAAAAAAAAAAAAAAAAAAAAAAAAAAAAAAAAAAAAAAAAAAAAAAAAAAAAAAAAAAAAAAAAAAAAAAAAAAAAAAAAAAAAAAAAAAAAAAAAAAAAAAAAAAAAAAAAAAAAAAAAAAAAAAAAAAAAAAAAAAAAAAAAAAAAAAAAAAAAAAAAAAAAAAAAAAAAAAAAAAAAAAAAAAAAAAAAAAAAAAAAAAAAAAAAAAAAAAAAAAAAAAAAAAAAAAAAGCACAGCAAGTTATTTTTACAGGTACTTTGGAAGATTACTGTAGTCCAGCCTTTTGGCAGAACTGAAATCAATGCATGCACGTTGACATTTACCAAGTACAGCGTGTCAAGTCAGAACTTAACTGCATAGTTTATGAAAACTGAAGGCTTCTTTGTAGATCAACATTAAATAGTTTTGTCAGTTTACTGCCCCCCCCCCTTTTTTTTTTTAAACTCTAAACCTGGCAACATGCAATTGGCTTGTGTTGTATTAACAGCATCTCTTGTTGGAGGAAAGTATGTACACATGCCAAGAGTAAACTCCAAAAAACCACAGAATTCACTGGTACTATTGTTGAGTGCAAGGCCCTAATTTCTCCCTGCCTCCACAACATTAGGAAAGATGAAATTTCCACATGGAACCTATATAGGAGTTAAGGTTAAAACACACACACACACACACACACACACACCCCAAAAAAAAACCCCACAAAACCAACCACTTTCCTATAGAAAAAATGTTAGGAGATACTTAACAGGCTCAAGTTAGAGCTTTTTGACCAGACCAGAAGCCAATTCCTTATGCTGTAGTCTTGCAGGCTTTTGAGACTGCAACCCAAGTCTTCTTAAAAAAAAAAGCCAAAACACCTATCGTGAGATGCTCAACTCAGGATTAAAAAAAGTGTATACATTAGCCAGAGATTAAGTTTAAAACCACTGTAGCCTCAAAAATAAGAGCATAAATGGAATAAAATGTTTGGTTTGCCAAAACCCAGTTACAAAAAAAACAAAAACCCTACCACACACCAAGTCAAGGTAACTCAAGTTTTAAACAAAATAATGCATTTACAAGAGTGTACACAGCACAACCATTCAAGTGAAATGCTAGCCTTCAGACTCTGTAGTGTCCATTTTTTATTTATTTCTTTAATAGAGAAGAGGCAGTACTACTGTCAGCAGACAAAAATCGCTGCCAAGTTCCCTGCCCAGAGGAAAGTTCTTACCCAACTGCTCCTTGATAATCCGCTGTGCTATTCGGTCAATTGTTCCAAGCTTTAGAGCAAATATATCTAGATACTCTCCCATGGCTGCAAATTCCAGTGGTCGACTTCTTAGTTTATAACCTCCTGTGACATATTTGACCGACTCTCCCATCTTGGAGAGCAATGCCATTCCTTGCTTTTTGTAGGCATTAAGATCCTGGTAATGACAAAATACTGTATTTTTTTAAACAATTTTCAGGCAGGAAAAGCAAAATACCATAACTAGTCTAAATCAGGGTATAACCCAGAGCCACTGGATCTAGCCTGAAGAGCAGCAAGGGCTTTACCCATGTCACAGTGCAGCTAGGTGGCAGCAAGAAGCAGAGACCAGGCCTAGCACCAGCCCATGTTGGTTACCAGCCGAGCCATTCCAGCCCACTACTGGAAGCCTTGTGGACCACTGGTCTAAGTAGTCTGCACTTCACTTAAAATCAGTGATGAAAGAAAGCTTTTGCAAAAGATGTTGGATCATGAGCTATCAATTCCAGGATCATATGCATTTTTCATAGTGCCTAACAGGATAAAGCTTATACTTCAGTAGTGTCTGTAGACAGAGGGATGTTTTACACAAGACTGACAGAAGTACCTTCCTGCTCACACAGAAGGCAAATGTCAGCCTAATCCAAAGTGTGGTGGCACTGAACACGTGGAAAAATTCAGGTCATATAGTACATTTCAGACTATTTTTGGCAAGCTAGGTCAGCAGGTTCAGTTTACTCCCAGTGCTCTGCAGAAAAAGCTACCTTGCAGTCCCCTGCACTAGTAATATACAGATGTATGCAGACAGAACCGGGCTCCTGTGGGCCATCAAGAATGTGGGTGTATGGAACCAGAAAGTGACCAAATACTCAGGTGATCTCCAAATGCAATTAACTGAGTTAGCCAGTTATGACTGCCCTCCTCCCCTTCCAATGGAGAAGAGGGTTGGATAGGATAATATTCAACATGCACTGTGTTAATACAATTCCTACCCCAGTAGGCCATGTTACCAGGGGGCCCAGGACAAAAGAAAAGAGAAATAAGTTGTTGCAAGAAGTCTCATTATATGGGTCTGGAAGTAATTACTTGTATTCTATGAATATGCACCAAGGACTGCATCCCTTCCCTAGGAGGAAGATGTTTGGATTTATTAAACCATGATTATTCTCTCTTCTATTGATATGATGTATTGTAGTCCTTCCAGCAGAGGTCAGCATTTCATGCTTAAACTTTGCTCTGAAGCTTTAGTCTACTAGATGGATACATATACAAACCTGACCCCCACAAACCAAGATCATAAAGTAACCCTAGGTTTTTCCTAAGTTAGATATCAGGAAAAACTTACTAAGACAGTGGTGAAGCACTGGAACAGGTTATCTAGAGAGGTGGTAGAATCCCTGTACCTTCAGAGATTAAGGCCTAGTTTAACAAAGCCTTGGCTGGAATAATCTAGTTGGGGATGGTCCTGCTTTGAGCAGGGAGTTGAACTAGATGACCTCCTGAGGTCCTTCCTACCCTCATTTTCTACGATGCCAATTCCTAGAAATCATAGCTAGAAAACTTTAGAACTACACACCTTTCAAAATGCATTACTTACAGTAATACAGGCCTGTACTACAACTGTGGAAGAGACAGATCTTGACAAATGTTGCCAAGAAGAAAAAAAAAAAAGTCATGTTGCCCTTCATGCTGAAGATTGCTTCTAGGGCTGTGCCAAATTAGGACGTTTTGTTTCAAAGGTGTTTTGACCTTGAAACCAAAATGAAACGCAAGGCTTTGAAGTGAAATGAGGGCACTTGAAGCGTTTCAAATATTTCGAAGAGGTTTGAAGCTGGGCTTGCAGGGAAATACAAAATTAAGAAGCAGGAGGGGAAAGGACTGCTCTGATATTGACTGTGTAGCTGGGCAGTGACTGTGATCCCTCCCTGAGGTCTCCTCCAATCCCAGTGCTCTGGGGGAGGGACAGAGAAGGAGCATAAAAGCAGTGTTTGAAATGGGCTGTCAGCTGTGCCTTTGTCAGTTTGAGCTGTATCCTCTAGCAGCATCAGGAGGCTCTCACTTTCTACCTGCTAGTCTGTAGTTAGTAAGTGGGATCCAATCCATTCCTTCCCCAAAATCCTCTTTTTGTTACTCTTTCCACACAAAATATATCTGTGTTTTCCCTGACACTCTGCATTGACTGTGCAAGAAAGTACAACATTTATATAGTACATAAATACATATATTACAGAAACGCACAGATTTCCCAGCACACCAAACATGAAGCGTGCTAGAAAGGCAGGTGGCTGCTCTTCTGACCAGGGTGGAAAAAGGGGGCAGAGGGAGAGCTCTAAGTCCCCCCCCACAAGCTTAGATGCAGCCTCTTTCCAACAAGTAGCCATGCTGCTTCTGCTGCTAGTGGCACTAAGGAGGTAGGAGCAGCATCTGCATCCCCTCCAATAATACCCACCATAACCACCCTGAGAAGCACCATGACAACAAGCAGCACCAGCGTTACAGTTTCCTCTACCCCAATTTCAATTCCCAGCCTGAGCCTTCCAGTGCCAGAGGAAGAGCTGGATCTGAGTGCCCTAGCAAGGGAAATTCTAGGGAAGGAGGTAGAATTGGAGTTTGTGCTCCACACTCCAAGTTTCCCCTACAGCCATGTCTCCTTCCCCAGAAGGCACTTTAGAGGAGGTTGAGGAGGTAAGTGGCTCAGCTGAGTCCACTCCTCCTGCTGATGTGCACCCTGAGGCACCTACTTAAAAAGCTAATCCCAGCAAGGGGTCCGAGAACCTACAGGGTTTAGTGGAGTCCATTAGGACCGTGACCGAGCTAAAGATCGAGGGCAGCCTCCCTATCTATTATCTTTTCCAACAAGGTGCCCGCAGGGTGGAGCTGGCAGTCACAGCGCCCTAGGGGTATCAAGGCCATCTCTAGAGACCCTACTCTGTGACAAAGTGCAGTCTTCCAGAAACCCCTGCACCCCATCTCCTTGAAACCTGGCAGGCTTCATGACCTCAGAAGGGGCTAACATCTCTGCTGTTTTCAGCTCAATCAGGCAAAAAATGACAAAGTTATAGGCATTTCCGTGGTTCCCCATTATAGTTTATGGGCAAAACACCAAAACAGTTTTAGTGAAACTAAATGGAACAGTGCTTCAAAATAGTGAAACAAGACACTGTCCCTTTGAAACTGCAAATCTGAAATCAAAATGTTGCCGTTTTGCACAGCCCCAGTTGCTTATAGTACCTTTGACTGCCTATACATGTGCTTGGGGGTAGGTAGGGGGAATTTTAAGTTAGAGCAGCTCTCCAGGAACCACTCCAATTAAAACTGCTCACCATCACATGTATTAAGCCCCAGCATGTTTCAAAATGGCTGCAGGACACCAAGTAAAGCTCATTCAATTAGTTTTAGTTAAAGCACACCCATGGCCATTTGCGGGTAGGTCTTGCTTGACCAATCTCATTTCCTTCTACGACCAGGTGACCTATCACCTGGACAAGGGAGAAGAGATTGATGTCATATATCTTGACTTCAAAAAAGCCTTCGATCCGGTTTCCCATGATCACCTCTTGGAGAAACTGGCCAATTGTCGCCTTGGGTCCTCCATGATCCACTGGCTGGAAAATTGGCTCCG